ATAACAGAGTATACTGTTTCGCCCATGTTTCAATGAGTTGCCATTCCTCATTCAGATGTTATTCCTCTGTACCCTGTAAATCCACTACCATATCCCGCTCTTCAAATCGAAATCGCTTCACGGTAGAAACACGAATGGGACAGAGGTGTCCAAGCAAACGACTTTTGTACAAAGTCTTCTTCTGGTAAATAATATAATAATATATTATTTCATCCAACGAGTTTTCACTTAAAAGTAACCAAATTTTTTGGTAATTACTAATAGTCCATTTAGTTTATGTTAAGTTCTTATAAGAATGAAGTTTTATACAATATTTCACTTGCACTCTACAAGAAAAATGTTTTAAAATAATTATGTTATTATATTTAAATATATTAAAAAAGTTGAGGTTGCATACAGTTTCTTTAACGTAGGTAAGACAAACATTTTTCAAAGTTGTTTTAGCAAGTTTCGTAATAAATTTTGTAGTACTTCATAGCCACAAGTCGTTAGTTAATACTTAGATATATCGAGCTTTCTTTATAACTATTTTCACGCTCACTTGGTTCTTGCTGCCTGAGAAAAGAGGAAGACAAAAAGAACCAAGTACCAAAGGTCTCTGTTCTTACATATTAGTTTTGCTTCGTCTACTTTTATAGCTGTTATATATAAGTATATAAAATATACTTTAATATTACTTATATATACTTATGAATTGGGGTGTGTGCCATTTGTGTTTCAACCGTGAAGCAGCTGTATTTGCATGGCTGTGTTTCGGTTCGAAGAGTGAGATATGGGTGATTCTCTATAAACTCGTAATCGGCTGTCCCGACTGTTTTTTTCAAAAAGTAATATAATTACTTTCATAAAAATCATTTCTAATGAAACTTTAACCCCAAAAATTTACGGGCCCATTGTTTTTAGAACCATAACTATTTTAATTTTTTTTCTAGAAGTGATTGAAGCTCTAAAAATACAGTCCCCTAGCTGTCCCCATCACTGTATTCCCGCCTAGAAACGAGATTTATGAAGAAGTTATTGAAACTACATACATTTGGCAGTTAATATAATAATAAAAAATATAAAATTAATATTAATTTCGCAAAACAAGGTCTCATTACGAATTCTATTATATTAGTAAACACTTGTAAACTTTGTCCCTAGAATTTCCATACAGTCCCCTGCCAAAAATTTAAATCCATATTAAAAAAAAACTGTAATATTTACAAAAGTTTTTTAGAGAAAAACGAAACGTAATTATTGTTAAATTGGCAACCTTGCCGAAAGTGGCAACGAGACACCATTTTGTTTAGCGTCAGAACTTCATTTGTAAGGTGAATACGCGTTTGGTCCGTTACCACAGACAGTCCTCTGGTAAGTAATATTATTTATTTGTTAATTACTTTAATAATCGCTATATAGTTTATTATTTTATTATTTATGTCTAAGTTGATAGGCAGGTTCTTAAAAAACTATTTTACATCAGTTTTGTAAATATTGTGAAATCTAACCTAAATACACAGTCCTCTGGCAACAGTCCCCAGCCTAAAAATGCAGCAGAGGACTGTTTTAAACAACAGGGGACTGTGTATTTTGCATATTGGTTATTGTTTTTATATATTGTTGGTGTAAATTTATCCGCTAAGTATCATTGCTTTGCATTATTTTCCTTTATAAACTTATATTATTTTATACAGGTCGATCAAACATACATGATATCGTTCCTAAAAAGAAAAAAAATCCCGAGGGGAACTACGATAAAAAAAAGAGAGAAACAGAGCGACTACGATACAAAAGAAGAAAAAATATTCTGAAAAGAGATAACAAATAAGAGAAAAGGAGAAGTTGGAAGTACCAAAAGAAAAAGGTTTGTGAAAATTAGTAATGGTCATCTCGTGAGTACAGAGCTGCCTTAAAGAAGTGGAATTAATATTGTATTGTATACCGAGCCAAAAAACTAAGACTGAAAAGCGTCACTAATAATTTTGTATGAGAAAATACACCGTTATCAGATCCAGAAGCAGATGCTTTGTCTATAAGACCCGCCACTCTAGTTCCAGTTCAAATATCTCCAGCTCCAAGCCCAGCAGTTTCCAGTACTAGTCTACAGCAAAGAAGAAAAGAAGTCTTAGAACAACAAAAGAAGTTTAACAGAGAAATAAATAAATAAATCACACGTTTAGAAAAAAAAACTTGTGAAGTACAACTTACAACTTTATAACTAGAAATACTGTGAAGAAGCAGAAGAGATATCTTCTTGACACAGTTTTTAATCTTTATAAAAAGTTTATTACTGGGCACATAAAAATTAGCTACCAAAAATTTGGCCGACTCCGTCCATTTTGGGTTGTGAAGCCAAACGCTCCAGATCACGATACATGTCTTTGCATAGTTCATAGTAACATAGACATGAAGCTCAGCGCACTTCATACTAATAACATATTGACTTACAACAATCACCAAAAGTTGCTGAAAGATCTATGTTGTGACCGATATAATATTAATTGTTTGGCGAGATCATGTCATACTCGCATTGATAAAAACCCGAAATATAAACAAATTGATGACAGAAAGGATATAAAATGTGAATTTCTGAAATTCAAGATTTTAAGACTAAATGGAACCGACTGGTGACTAAGTATTTGAAAAAAACATTTGGATATCCAAGACAGCTCATAACACATTTACAGACAGATTAACACAAATTTTTGATCACCAGCGAAATATTGTTCACCAATATAAAACAATGAATAATTTAAAGTCAAATCTACAAGATGATGAAGTTCTGATCCACGTAGATTTTAGCGAGAATTATAACACTAAATACGCAAAAGAGATACAGAACTTTCATTTCGATGGATCTCGAGCACAATTGAGCCTGCATACCTTAGTGGTTTACCTACGAAATTCCATTCTTTCTTTTTGCACAGTCTCCAAGAACATAGCCCATTCATCTGCTGCTCTTTGGACACATCTACGACCAATTTTCAATACTCTTCCATGTGGCATCGAACGAGGGCATTTCTTGAACGATGGCCCTGTAACAGTCCCCTGGTACCTTATACAGTCCCCTGTCATGATTTTTTGAAAAATCGTTAATAACTCGGAAAATACGTATAAATTCAGTGGGCCTCCTTATCTAACTAAAATAATAGTTAATTTTCTTCGAAATACGACATGGTTTTTTGGCAAATGGCAAAAATAATTGTTAGGACAGCATTTGTATGGGACCTGTACGAGCTTACAGAGAAATACCCATATGTTAGTGAATTTACAGGGTACAAAGGAATAACACCTGATTCCTTGAAATGGCAACGCGGACAACTGAGAGTATCGTAGGCGAAACAGTATACCTACTCTGTTATGTCTATCGTACTGCTCATGTCTATAGGCGACGGTCACCACTTTTCATCAGACGCGCTGTCTACCACTGAATCATTTAGACTTGTAAATACCAGAAATATCTGTCTTCTTTATCATCATCCTCTCAGCCATTATCCGTTCACTGATGAACATAGGTCTCCCTCATACACTGCTATAAGGAACGGTCCTGAACCACCTGTATCCATTACCTGCATCACCAGCTGCATCAATATCTGCTTTGTTACATAAAAAAAAATGTGATAATTCTTTCAACCTATGCAGGATAGGGAATTGTTAAGTGGTCTAACAACTCCATTGCTAGCAATATATCTTACCAAGACAACTTATGTCTAATCATTGTTGAATTCATCATGATAGGCTAACTGGCCTGCTTTCATTCTCACCTAGCATATCCCACTGATATTGCTGAAATATGTATATTGATAGCATAGGTAGGTTACAATTCCATTTTCATTCATTAAAAAAAATATCTTGTACCGACTCTGTAGGTAGGAAAGGTACGTTTCGGTGGCATTACTGCCTGCACTATTGTATATTTTTGTAATATTATCTAATAGTTAATAGTATCATTATTGTAATATTACCATATTATTTTATTGTATCACATTTTTAGCAATAAATTCATGCATTCATTCATTTACAAAAAAAATGGTATATCTATGTGTTACTTCCACTCAATCTATTTATTCTTATCGAGTATGCGAACTTATGTCACACGTGTAAGGACGTAACTAGGTTACGTCATAGGTTTTTTATTTGAAATTGACACGGCACTTAAAGTGGATCGATGTTGAACACTGATCAACTCTGCTTCGTTAGTATGAAACAGATTATTCATGACTGCACGTTTCGACTTTTTATTTGCGACTATTTTGTACCGCAAAATTTATATGAAATTAATCGGGATTAAAGCACAATTATTGTAATTTCATCTATTTGAGTTTACTATCCAGTCTTCGCATATAATGTGTCACTTCTTTCTTTCTCGTGGGAACCGTAAGAGGTAACTAAAGGAATTTAATGGTAAAGGGATGAGCAGCAGCGTCCCTCTTTTTCACACACATCACCAAGGTCTAACTACTATTGCCAATCCGCCTGCCAAGTGTGGCAACTACTGGTAAAACCACCCAAGACGGAGACCTTTATTTAGCAGTGGACAGTTACCATCTGATTTGTCGACGATAACCCTTAAAAATCTACTCTCAGATGTGTATTTGCGTATAGCAGAAAGGGATGGCAAGGCATGGTAATAATATGTCGACCTCCGTTGTGCAGTAGTAAGCACATTGCATAATGTGATTTGCGTGTGGGTTCGAGTGCCTCAATCGAGGTAGTTTTAGGAACGAACTTTACTAAATTGATTCTAGTCTGGGTATCCTAGTTTGGGCTGCTTCCATATATTCAATGCCTGATTCCTCATTGCCCTATGGCTAGGCAATTGATATGATTGTGTTAAACAAAATATATATATACATATATCTTGGGCCTTTCAAGGGGACAGATTCGTGCCTAACGATGGATTCTTGTAATAAGACGGCCAGAAAATCTAAAAAGTGATTCATAATTATATATTAATTCAATGAATTACTTGAAATTCATTCAATTAATATTTACGATATAAAATTCAATGTACTCACTCTTCAAATTATGAAGACCGTAGTCAGCGATCTGCAGCACCCAACGACTGTCCACCAGGCAATTACTAGACGTCAGATTTCCATGTGATATCAGCGGAGAGTCGTGCAGGTATGTGAGACCTCTCAGTAGGTCCGCTACTAGGCTGGCGACGAACATATCGTCCAGGTGGAGATCCCTGTCGGCTAGTACCCGTGCAAGTGAGCCTCTTGAACAGTAAGCTGAGACGATGCAGCTGGATCCACTCTCGACACAAACGCCAACGAAAGCGGTTAGATTTTCGTGGCGGAGTTCACGGATCTGAGGATTAATGACTACTGATTAAAATCAATTAATTTATCACCTAATAATCTTAATTTTGGCCGTGTCGGTCTTGGCATAGAATGGGCCATCCCTTCCTTTCCCGTGGCCGTAAGAGGCGACTAAGGGATAGCGACGGATGGGCAACAGCGTTTCTCTTAAAACTCACTAAAACTCTAACTGCGGTTGCCTACCCACCTACCAAGCGTGGCAGCTACTGGAAAAACTCTCTTTCTGGGGAAGGTTTATATTCTGCGGTAGACAGTTAAAGGCAATATGATGAAAATTATGAATTTTAACTTTGAGACTTACATTGCACGATTTATGGTTTATATGAGATGGAAATTAATCTATTTATGTAAATGATTGCGTTAATTCCTCTCTTTTGTAAAGTAGGCAGTAATCTGTTAAAGCTATGCAAGGTGCTAAATTTACTTGTAAATATTGTAAACCTTAATGTCCTATGGAACTGAAACATGATTCTACACGATTGCCCGGATGCAAAATCTTCAAATTACTCAGCGAGCTATGGAGAGGGTTATGCTAGGAGTTTCTTTGCATGACAGAATCCGAAATGAGGATATCGGCAAAAGAACCAAAGCCACCGACATAGTCCGAAGGATAAGCAAGCTGATGTGGCAATGGGCTGGTCATATAGAATCGACAACCGATGGAGAAGACAGGTTCTTGCGTACGTGCAAACACAATGCAGGACGATCCTCCATTAGATGGAGTGACGACCTCAAATGCATTGCAGGGAATTAATAATAATAATAATATTTATTTAATCAAACTACATAAGGCCCATTTTGTTAGTTGTAAATTGACTTAACCTATGTTAGTAAATGAGCGGTCATAACGCTCTTGCATTGATAACCTGTCCCACCCAATATTTTAGGATGGCACAGTCCATTTTATCAGCAAACATCTTCAGGACACTGTTTGAGTTAACACGCACCCTACCCAACAGCGAAACAATTCGTTTGCGCCGTATTGCGTAAAAATCATTCGTACGCTCTCGTGCAAACGTGTGACGCACTACAGAGACGAGGTAGCCCCAACAGTGCCCTGAAGGCATTATTTTATTGGACTCGAAGAACATTGTAAGTTTTTTGGTTACAGTTGACTTACAAGCTACTCGTGTAGAACACCTGACAAAAAGCTTTAATGGTAGTGGCTTAGGATTGTTCCTTATAGCGATCTTTGGAAGAGGCCTTTGTTTAGCAGTGGACAGATAATGGCTGACATGATGATGATGATTTTAAACCTTGTATTATTTTGCAAAAAAAAATCTTCTTGGCAGCTCGATTTGGAAACAAGAATGAATCACTAATAATTTATGGTTAATTGAACTTACCAAGTGAACTTCAACCAAAATTATACGAAATGTTGCATCCGAAGAGATTTAAGTATACCATGTAGTCCGTTGTCTTATATACCGCATCAGCACACAGTTTAGATTTTATTTTTATAAAGAAAATACAAGATATTAAGAAAAAGTAAAATAAAAAGGAGTTACACTGACTTGACATCCGGGCCGATGCCATCCCTAGTTCTCATTCTTTTAGAGGAAGCAGTAGAATCAATCTGCATATAAAGGGGGTACATATAGATATTTATATGATGAATATAGATTTATACATACGGGTATGTATATATCATATAATCGGGTAGGGCGGGACTTTAAATCTCTTCGGATGCAACATTTCGTATAATTTTGGTTGAAGTTCACTTGGTAAGTTCAATTAACCATAAATTATACTTCAATGTTGCATCCTCAAGATTTAAGTATACCATGTAGATGTTTAGCGATTATATGCAGAATGATCCTACCTATTCATAGGTAACATTTGATATAATCTAAGAATAAAAATATAATGACAGACATGACAATATGATATATTAAACAAATATAAGTATACAAAAAAAATAGTTCATATTCGTTTTTTATTTATTAATAAATCTAATCAATTATATGTATGTAATTTGTTAGAATCAAACTTAAATCTCACAAAAGAAAACAAAAATTTTACGTTTGAACCACTTGATTGAAAATTGAAAATGATGATTGCTTCAGCAAAGGCCCTATCCTGCCTAGGATCATGTAACGGTAAATTATAAAATTTTGGGACGCATAAAGAATTACCAGACCATCCTGCGGTCTGTTTTATTATATCTACTGATAGTCCAGCACGATGTGCTGCTGACGTCGATGCATATTGCGTACTATGCGATATATATAAATACATTTATATCTATTCCACTAACTTTTAGTACATACTTAATCCATCAACTAATCGACTGAGAGGTCGCGTTGTGTTGTAGCTTTTTTAAAAGTCAAGATGAGTTTATTGGTGTTGGGTAGAGAGCGATATTCCCCAGTTTTAACTAAATAATCAGCCAGGGTCTTTGCTGGGCAAATATATTCTTTTTCTTTAAAGGAGGCTATATGTAACATCGGATTTTTATTATTATATGTTGAAGTTTTAATAATATCTGCGATTAGTACAATTTCGCCGAAGTCATTAAATAATATATTATTAATTTCAATCAATGACAATGTCTGCGCGCGTTGTGTCGTGGATAACGCGAGCAGACTCACTAGTTTTTTACTTAAACAATCAAATTTTAATGTCTCATTACAATATTGATCAGCTAAATATAAGAAAACTAAATTCGGATCCCAAAATTTATGATATTTAGGTAAATTAGGTTGCATTTTAAAAATACCTTTGGTAAATCGAGATATTAGGTCGTTATTACATAATTGTTTGCCTAATATTAATGACAAGGCCGATCTGTATTAAGGTGCTGTAGTTGGCACCATTATTAGTTTTCCGTTAGAAATTTAGTATTATTTATACTGATGCATTACAATAATCTATTTTGTTATTATTACAAGAATGAATCCAATTTCTATACACAGTATTGAATTGTTGCAATGTACTCAAGGAAAGAGATTTTATCATAATTTCTATGGTATTAGTGGAGAAAAATTGTTTCATGAAGGCCTTTCGGATAAATTCTCGCACACCAGAGTAAGTCTTGGCCATAAAGGGTAACTTATTCTGGAAGAGGACAACAAAAGATTTGCATTAGGTGGGAAATACATTACATCAGAACAAGTCAGTGCTAGAAAACATTGGGTATCAAGGCTGACTTGACCAGTAGGTAACTACTAAAATACCAGTAGCCTTATCGTTCACAATTTTTCTGAGGCATTTCGTTATTAAACAAAAAGGTGGGAATGCATAAAAAAAATACGAGATCCACCATATTGTAAATGCATCAATTTGGAACGCCTCTGGATCTCGTGAAACGAATAAACAATATCCATCCATCCCAAATTTACTTGTATCTATATTTGTTACTCTAGATGCTCTACCACCTTCAGTATTTTCTCGAGATTTTATATAAGACGCAAAAATGAATAGGTTTCGTTGCTCAAACCAGGACCATGTTTCTCTGGTAATAGAAGTTAGTTGTGGAAATTGTACACCGGCCACCCTATTTATGTGCAATTTTGCTGTGGTATTATTAGTATTATATGGTATTATAATAATAATAAATCTTTACAAAATCTTTTTATTCCTAGGAATGCTGCCAATAACTCAAGATAGTTAATATGATTCTTACACTCTTTAATAGACTAATGACCTTGTGCTATTTGCCCCTTAAGTAATCTCCCCACCCTGAAAGTGAAGAGTCTTCATTTTTGCGTCTTTATTATCCTGATGTTTTAATAGATGAATGTATCGAACTGTTAGATATACTGAATTTATGGTACTAACATACTTTGTAAATACTCTAATTGTTACTAAAGCTTTTTTTTTTTGTCATATCTTACAATCTAATTCGTTTTTCTTGAAGTAATTTCAATATCATATCTTTTGAGTTTAATATATAGCTGAAAAATTTAATATTGTTTGTAGGCATCAAGTTACTTTTTTCGTAGTTAATTACGTAACCTAAATTTTTAAAGATATTAATAAGGATATTGACAGTGTTGAGACAGGTATTGTATGAGTCACCAATATATAATAAATTATCTAAGTATGCTACTATTACATGCCCTTTATTACGTAAATAAGATAGAATAGGTTTTAAAAGTTTCGTGAATATATAAGTGCCAAACGTAAGCCATAAGGCAAACAAGTGAACTCATATAACTCATCAAAACGCAATCGTAATTTTTTTTTTTTTTTTCTTTTTTGCTAAATATATGTAGTAAGACTAAAAAATACGCCTCTTTTAGGTCTATAGTTGCCATATAGAAACAGATATCACACTGTTAGTTGTGATGCCGTCCTAATGTCCTACATTTTGAATTTAGCAGTTTTCATAAATTTATATAAACTTTTAAAGTTTAAAATAAATCTAAAATCGTCATTACTTTTAGGTATGAGAAAAATAGAAGATAAAAATTGATCAGTATGCTATAGACAAGGTTTAATAGCACCCAAGTCAAGAAATTTGACTATTGTTTTGTTCATTTCTAATTTTGAATAAGGTGGGTTCGCCGGTTCATTCGATTGATATGGCTCGGTTTTAAAGTGTATATGTAAGAAAGGACATTAAGATCGGTGGTAATTCTTAACTAATTATGTAGGAAATGTTTAATTTTATCAGCAAGAGGTACCTCTAACGACAGCTCCTCCTGTCGTAAAACTCCTGCTCAAATGAGACGGTCGGCCGCGTTGTGCCGGTGCTGGTGCCGGCGCAGTTGCTGGCCGCCTCCGCGCACACTATGTCTGTGATAACGCTGGCTCCCGATTGTAGCGAAAACTCGAAAGTCGGTGGCAAGAACGAACGCTCCGCACCCGTCGATTGACGGGGGGGATGCACACGTGAAGTCACATTATGCTGCTGAAAGACGGGCTTTTTAATTGTTGTCCAGATTTTTCTATAGTAATTTTTGTTGCCAAATATGTCAACATCTCGTTTTATGCCTTGAATAACATTCAGGAAACTTTTATCTAACATTGGAATTATTAGACGAC